TCAGTTATATCCCACTTCAGATATATCCCCAAAAAGTCTCCGTCCCAAAGTGGGGATATAAACGAGGGATGACTGTACTCGCTTCACCTACCCTTATTTATCAAGATCAACTACCAACCAATCACATTTCGATCTATGACAGGCTTTCCGAATTTGGTGCCAATAAATCTAAGCGAAAGAGTAATAGAATTCCTCTCATCGATATAGAGACTATTTAAGACCGCTGAAATCGGCTGATACTGAATTCTTGTTTCCTACATACCATACTGTACCATGGACTAAATTATACATGCAAAAGATAATAACTGTAATATCCTTTATTATATACTTGGGGAAGGGAGTCCTCTATTTCGAGAATGGATAAGTGTCTTCTCAAAATGTCGATATTGTGTATTTACTATACCTGTTTTAGTAAATAAACAAGGAACCTCCTTTTGTGAACTTGACTTTTCCGGCTCTTTTAACTTTCAGCGTTTCCAAAATCCCCACATGGAACGCTCTGAACGAGGAGGGTAAAGCTTATTGAGCCCGTCTATATCACCTTGACTTAACCTTTCACGTTGACCTGAGTTATAGAGATATACCTGTTGTTAGATAAAGTCTATGGCATATAAAACCATTAAAAGTGCTGAAGTAGAATTCAAAGTCATGCAAACCTATCCTCTTTGACATTATTCCCGGTTTCAATTCGATTTTTTGATTGTTGTATACACCTGGTTCGTAATGCATTATGGATTCCAAGTCGTAAGCACCATGACACACCGCCTTATTATCCGGGATTTTTACAAAATTGATATCATCTGGAAAATTTGTAACAGTCAAAAAATTGTCACGGTCCGGGCGGGAGTGCTCATGGAAAACTCCAAGTACATGCATCAGTTCATGCATAGCAATGCCTATCGAATTAGCATCGCCAGCAGCTATCGATAACTCCTTATTGTTACAAAATAAAATACAGAAAGAGTAAGAGATAGACGATGGTATTATATGATTATGAATATAGTAATTATTAAAGTACAGACCTGTTCACCCTTACATTGCCTACCAACGCAAGAATAGCTTCCTTCTTTACTAACAATTTTGATATAATCTTGTTCGTTTGTTCTCTCCACAAATTTTACTGAAGACACGCTTTCAATCCTTTCCATCGCTTTCTTAACAGTGCCACTGATGTTAGCAGACAAGAAAGGATCGAATATATATGGAACAATTCCATTTACCCAAGTTGTTCCATGCTATAAAAAAGAGAAACGTTAACACAGTTGGCTAAGACAGACGAAACTAAAAATGGTTCTGAGTGCAAGACTTACAAACTTATCATTAGAGTCATAAACTATGTCACCTTCATAAATTGGTTCTTTGCAATGAGAAAGGTTAAAGAAGAGGTCGCCCTTATCATAAAATAACGCGAATCCAAAAGTTTCCAGTTCCCTATTATTTAGCATGTATTATTATTCATTGGCTCATTGGTAAAATTTGCAACAGAAGAGGAGACATTACTTTGGGGGGGTAAGGGTACAATTTCCAAACTTGCTGTTATTTGAAATCCATTTGTCATTAGTTAAATTTTGAAGTTTTGTATCATGAAGGAGGAATGACCAATAACTTACGTTGCCATCTTCTTGTTTGAAAATAGTGGCTGTCGAAGTTTTTTAATTTAGAGTCTTTGTAGACTTTTACTCGACCAATTTAAATGTTTTTTTCTTATCTAAACAAAGACCTTTGTATAAAAGAAAATGGAAAATTGTTCAACTATCGTATTCAGTGATTACGATAAGACCGTTCTTTATCAAAATTTTTTTATCTATAATCTGTATAAAATTTCTACGTTTGTAACACTACGGAAAAGATTGCCATACAAGGAGATACTATAGTCCAGTAATAATTCTAAATACATTGTGGCTTATGCAAGAATATGCAGAGTTTATGACTGTGCTGCCTGAAAAAGTAACAACTCGGTCAATGAATACAACAAACTTAGTTCAATGAAACAATCGAAATTTCGGTGGAAAACCCCTGGTATTTTATTATGTCATGGGGCTTAAAGCTGAAAAGATTTGGCATGCCATATAAAGAAAAATGATAGTCAAGTTCATCACTGTGACATCGTGACGCAACATTTTATGGAAATATTTTGTCTTTATAAGAGGGTGATGCGTCAGAAGCTGTTTAACGTTAAGTGATTAACAAACGTATTTGGAATTATTGGGTTTGAACAAATTTTGACCAATGGCATTGTAGAATCGTCGGAGAGGGGTCGTGTATATCGTAAACATGTTACTTACCGATCAAACGTTCTTACCTCATTATGACATTAATAATTTTGCCATTTCGTTTGACTATTCATCACATCCTTTAAAGACTTCCCTTTTCTTAATCCGACGATTATGACATTCTTTAGTTTTTCGTCATGGATTTCTGATAAGTCAACTGTTGGTCGAGGCGTTCTGAAAAGGTTATATTTCTACGTACACGTAGCACTGCAGATGTATCAGGTGACTAATGACTAAATCTTTTTACGATTAATATCAGATGACGCAAATTATATACAACATATACAATGACAATTGGCGATATCTAATTTGGCAAATAATGTGATTTAAATTCGATTTTCTTTTTGAACATTTGATTAAATTTATTTAGAAATGTATTCGATTTACAGCTTTTTTGGGATTTGAATTGACATAATCAGTAATTGTTGGGACTAAGATATGTCTTTGTTAACAAACAAACAGACAACAGATATATCAAAGCTCAATTTACGGATTTGAATTGACATAATCAACAATTGTTGTTGTTTCAAGACTTTGTATTGACATCGATACACAACGCTGCCGTCGAAGAACAATATTGACGGTGACGGCCACAAATATCATTAGTGCTGTCACGTTATGGCGACCAACTGCTGAATTGCAATCTCCTAACAGCAAAAGCTCTTCGAGCGGAAATTAATTCCTGCAATGCTTTGTAATACCAAATATAGAATTTGTTCCCAAAAAGCGACCGATGGTCGCGATACTCAAAATCAAAATGCAGATACAGACTGCGACTTTATGATTATTAGTAAGATAGAAGAGTGGTTATATTTTAATAATAATAATACATCCATTCTTGAATAAACACGTATTACAGTGAACTCTCTCTAAATGCACAGGAAGTGCTCGGTCCCATTATGAGACTCAAGAGATAAATGCACGCTTTATATTCTGCAATTGCAAGCTTTTTTTCGGTCCTATTTCTATATGAGTGTTTATTTAAATGCAATATCCTGTGATCATGGACGTAATAATGATCTACAAAAGTCACGTAACAAAGTCCACGATATCTTGCTATTACATAATCGTATTAAAGGGTTGAACTGCCTATATTCGGGTCATTACGTATTTGGCTGGGTTATGGGGGTAGGAGAGGTATTGTATTATAACGTTACAGACTCTTATTTAGAATTTCAATAAGCCATGTTAATGTTGATAAAACTTTTTCACATTTTTACATATCTAATAAAAAAAAGAAAGACCCTTCGTATTAATACGATCATAGATTAGTACGATTAGGTAAACATGCTTCTCGCAAGTAAACAAATATTACAAGCTTTTTACAATAATAATATATATGATAATTTCCAATAAACTTTCTTTTATTGAATAATTTGAATAGACATCTTTCTCATTTGTTAATGGCGGCATAGTAAATAGTACAGTATATTATGCAACGAGGTCACGTGAAATAAAATGATTGGTGTTCTCTAAATGCACGCTCTCCATAAGCGCATCACAACGTGCACCTAGGGAGAGTTCCCTGTAATATTCCCTATTACTATCGCTATTTCTTTTTCAATAGCACTATCTTAGATACACATAGTGCTTTATAATTGGTCAATCGAGAATTTAAGGCTAATTGTTATTCTTCTTCAGAATGCGTGCAATATTCAAAGGGTTATGTTGTATGTCAGATAGGAATTTATGTCAGATCGGAATCTATGTCCATTCCGAACTGACATATGTCACATCAGAATCTATGTCCATTCCGAACTGACATATGTCAGATCGGAATAA